TTATTAGTAATTAATTTGTAATCAGCAACATGATTTCATTGAAATCAAAGTCTTTCTAGAAAATGTAATCATCTCTCAGGCTCTTTAGTTTCTTTTCTTAGGTAGCTATCACTGTCCTGAAACATCAAACAAACAACTCCTAAATCCACATAATTGTCAGTGAAGACTGTCAGCTCCCAGTGTTGAACTGAATCTAAATATATGCCTCCAAATTTATTTATTTATTCAACTTACATGGCCATCCATCTCAACAAGGTACTCTGGTGATTTTCTATTACTATAAAAATCCAGGCCTTTCAGAAAGCAATGTGAGAAAAGCAAAAGAGAATAGTTTGACTTTTTTCCAGTGATGCTGCTTCTGATTCCTACTAGGCCATTAAAGTATAATTCAAAGTATCTTTCTTTTCTGAACATTTAATTGATGCTTCTAAGCCAGAGATGGATAGAATTATTAAAAGGGAATCAGTGGAGGGGAAGGATCAAGAACACTTGATCACTCCCTCTCTTCACCTCTACATTAGCTTTCTTAAGCTTCACTGCAAATTGTCCAAGTCCTACAGCTTTCTAAAAGTACAGAAAAGAACTTGCTTGAATAAGTTATTTTTTCAATAATTAATGAAGAGAAGATTTAATATAATGCCTCAGATTATTAAAAATTTTAAATTTATGCTTAAAAAACTTATCCTCTGCTAATTCCCAATAAAAACGGCCTTTATTTGCACATTCCAAAGTACCATGTGGAGTGGAAAATTATTAGCCTTAGGATATTGCAGTTCCCTAGATGTTGCAGTTCTTAGCACTAATAATATTTTAAAATATATTTCAGAGTAAAAATGCTTTATGCTGCTGCCTCTCATATTCCACCTACTTATTCAACACAGTATATATTTTCATTTTAGTTCAAGATGAATTTATTTAGACTAACTTTGAAAATGTTAGCACTGCCACTCAATCTAGCATATCCCAGATAATCAGTAGCATTATCTACTATCTAGAATTATGCAATTCTAGATTGAGTTCTGTGGACCCTTAATATTAATATTCTGCCTAACAGTAAAGGTAAAGGATTTTATTCTGCTAGTCGTAGCCAATTTTAGGGGTAATGTTCATCTCTGCTTCTTTAAGCCATTGAGCCAGCACTATCTGAAGACATTTCCATGGTCATATAGCTACCATGAAATAATGCACATTTAGGGTGTGTCAAATTTTTCAACTTTCAATTTCCAAACATTAGGGGTGCTTAAAATTTTTGATATGCGTTGGAGATTGTAAAGGTACTTTGTTTACTTTAATATAATTTAGATGTGCTTGGTAAGTAACTACATAAATATCATAATTTTTTAACATTTTATTTGTTTCATTGCACAAAGCATACAGTGAAACACGGAACATTTGTTACCTTCCCACTGAAGTGTGGTACTTCTTTATCTACTTGCATTTACATGCTTTTGAACTGCTATGTTGGTAGGAGCTGAGGCAAGTGATGGGAGCTGACCCCATCGCGCAGCAGTAGGTCTCGAACTGCTGGAGTACAGAGCTTTTCCAGTATCTTTTAAGCCACTGAGCCCTCCACCTCTCTGCCTAACAGTAATGGAAATATATTTACGCCTATAAGAGAGTTGCCTGAATATTATAGTAGATACATCTAATTATAAAAGGATGCTTATCTACTTACAATACATGCCAAATGTAAGAATTAAGATTTTGTAGATTATAATTAGGTTCACAGTGGCTTTGAAAATGCAAATTTTACAATGCCAGAATTCTATAGCACTTATATGATCCTCCAGCTCCATGGAAATGCAACTAAATTGATTGATACTTGTAAAAGTGCTTCATAAAGCACTTCTAAAAATCTATATGGAATCATGTCTCGTCTTTCTTGTAGGAAAGGTTATAAGAAGCACTTTTCTTCTTTGGCCAATAAAAGCAGAAATACTAGACACTTATCCATGCAATAACATAGCATTAGAACAAAATGTAACAAAAAAAAAAATTAAGCAACTTAAATCTTTGAACTGTACCAGAAATCATCTTTCTCAGAAAAAGTCTGCTCTTTTGAAAGATGAAGGGAATACCAACTGCTTCATATTTATTAAGAATAGGGTCACTTTCCTTGTTTGCTTTTACCAAAGATGTTTTTTTCTTTACTCTGTGCTCCCTTTCTTTAAGTATCATAAAACTATGATACCTCTAATGGGAATAAGGCTACAAACGTATATGTAGTTACTGTAGAATGAACTGATTGGCTACTTTAGAAAATTCTTCCAAATAAACATGCATAGAAAAATGCATGTTAATATTGTAAAGAGAGAGAGAGAGAGAGAATGAAAAACAATTACTACTATTTATAGTATATCTGTTATGTGGTGGATTAAAGTTGGTGTTACATCTCTGGGCATACAGATGAAGCAGAACTATCATTTATTTTTCTATGATATAAAAGGTAAAGGTTCCCCTCGCACATATGTGCTAGTCATTCCCGACTCTAAGGGGTGGTGCTCATCTCCGTTTCAAAGCCGAAGAGCCAGCGCTGTCCAATGACATCTCCGTGGTCATGTGGCCGGCTAAATGCCAAAGGCGCACAGAATGCTGTTACCTTCCCACCAAAAGTGGTCCCTATTTTTCTACCTGCATTTTTTGCGTGCTTTCGAACGGCTAGGTTGGCAGAAGCTGGGACAAGTAATGGGAGCTCACCCCGTTACATGGCACTAGGGATTCGAACCTCTGAACTGCCGACCTTTCGATCGACAAGCTCAGCGTCTTAGCCATTGAGCCACCGCGTCCCTCTTTTCTACGATATACTTGACTACTATTTGAAAAACTCCCTGTGCTCTGGATTTCATGCTTACTAAATGACAAACAAGGAATTTGCCTATTCTATTTTTTCTTTAGTTTTTGTTAGAGGGTAGCCATCTACAGCTACACACACAGCTACATTAAAATCCTAGAATGTTTTACAGGTACTTCTATCATTTTCTATTAGGGCTTTCCCCTCTAATTAAAAGTCATTTTCTTTAAAATACTGAGAATTCAGAACAGGCATTTTTTGCATATAAAAAAGAAAATTAATAACTGTATATCTTATATCTTGATTTGTAGAAAGGTTAGAACCACCTTCATGTTTTAAAGCTCCAAATCTAAAGATTATTTATGGTCAGTCTGAGTCAGTGGGGAGAAATTATGGTCTCCCAGAGCTTTGGGGTTTTTTTCCCTTTCCTTTCCATTTAGGGCACAGTAAGACATATTTATTTATTGCCATTCTATGCCACTATAATCAGAAATCTCTTCTGTGATTTTCTTTGTCTCTTTCTCATTACATCTCCCCCCCCCCCCCAATCAATGAACTGTATCTTGTGATGATGGATATATATGATGGATATAAATAATTATTCTGATAGCAAATTTATGGATGCTTCAAAATGAGGTTTGGGAGCATACATTAGGGACTAAAGTATCAGAATGAAGGCAGTGATCCTTGGGAAATATGAGGTTAAATTACTATTTAGGAAGCATAGTCATACAGTCAGCACGTATTTAACAACCCTTATTTACTTAAAGATCCTGAAATGCACTTCACAACTGCCAAGTATTGTATTGAGTAAGATAAAGAGGAAAGGAGTAAATCTTTTTTAACATTGTCAGACAGGTTAAACTCCAAGCTATAAACTGCTTTAAACAAAAGTAAATCCTGTTACAGGTAGTCCTTTAGTTATGACCATATTTGAGCTTGCAATTTACCGTATGTGGTCATAAAGCAGATCATCATGTGACCATGTCCAATTGTACAACTTTTTTTTTGCAGTCATTATAAGAGTCCAGGAAGCAAACACCATGGTTGTTAAGTGAATCTATTGCTCACTATGGGGTGTTTTTTTGCCAGAAATTGGAAGCATATACCAGTTTCTTTAAAAAAATCAAACCCATAAATTGCGTCACTGCAAACATAAATGTGGACCAGTTGCTAAGCACCCAGAATGCAGTTACATGACTTGGGATACGGGGGGTGGGGAGCAGACATTGAAACTTAGAATCTAGGTTGTAAGTCTTCTTTTTTGGGGTCTAAGGACTATCTGTATTCTCTTTGGCTTCACCATTGCTATTACATATAAACCTATTTTGGGGCTAGAATATATACATAATTGACAAAGGTTATTTTTGTGTAAAGAAAATAAATCCTATAGTTCTGCCACCACTTTTAATATTACAAGCATGATTTGTAAATATTTTTCTCCCCAAATATCTATTAAATATATACTGGCTATCAACTCAACCCTTTCAATACATACTTCAAATTGGAAAAGGATACATGATCTCAAAATACATTTAATTTCCATTTGGAAGAGCAGCAGATTAAGGACAACAGGTTAAGATTACAGGAAGTCCTCGATTTACAATACTTCTTTTAGTGACCATTCAAAGTTACAATGGCACTGGAAAAAGTGAGTTATGACAGTTTTTCACACTTATGACCATTGCCGCAGCCCCATGGTCACGTGATCAACATTCAGACATTTGGAAACTGGCATGTATTTCTTACTGTTGCTGTGTCCCAAGGTCATGTAATCCCCTTTTGCAACCTTCTGACCAGCAAAGTTAATGGGGAATCCAGATTCACTTAACCACGTTACTAATTTAACAAATGCAACAATTCACTTAATAACTGTGGCAAAAAAAGTCATAAAATGGGGCAAACGCACTTCACAAATGTTTCACTTAGCAACATAAATTTTGGGCTCATTGTGGTTGTAATTCGAGGATTACCTATATTTCATTCTAGTGCACTAAGGGCAGTGCTTTAAAAACTCTTTTGTTTCTAAACATAGAGCAGCTGCCTAATCTGGTATCCATAATTTTGGGAGAAAAATTAGGGGTAATGAAGGAGTCCAACTGAATGAGCTTGACAGTTTTCATTCCCGTTAAGAGTTTTCAGGGCAGCAAATTTAGATGGTAAGTAAAAAAAGTTAGCTTAATTGTTACTCCTTCCTGTCTCTTTACAGCTCTTGTATGACAGCCCAAAAGCACGACAGGAAGTGGATCATCACTGGCGAGCTTCAGGCTGTCCCCATATTGTCCATATCTTGGAAGTTTACGAGAATATACACCATGGGAAGAGATGCCTTCTAATCATCATGGAGTGGTAAGCATCACCCTCACTAGTTTTATATTTGGATTCTTCAAGATGATGATTAGATCTCAGTCATACAATCTCTTTGGTATAGAAAACAATGGTGAGTTGTCCATAATTCCCAAGAGTGTTCAAAACTATTTTGGAATTTTTAATTTTTTTTTAAAAAAATCTGAAAATCTTGGGGAAGGAGTTGGGTTCCTACTGTACAGGTAGTCCTTGAGTTACAACACTTAGAATTTAGAATAATTTTATTGTCACTTTGAATGTATACTGATCGGCATACATTAAAATGAAATTTCATTGCATACAGCTCTCAGAGGGTCTCCACCTCTAATATACACTACATAAATACATAAATATTCATAAATAACTGAATAAATAATACATACATACATACATACATACATACATACATACATACATACATACAAAAGTATTCATATACCCACATATATTATATGGCATGGAGAAACAACAGTCTAGTTCAGATGTATACATGTACATGGCGAGAGAAATGAATCTTGCAATTTGCCAGATTGATGGTATAGAGAACAAAGCTTGTTACAGAATCTGGTAGTCCTGCTAGAAGTATTTCCAAACCTCCTCCCGTTACAACATCACTGGAAAAAGTGATTTATGATCATTGCAGCATCCCCATGACCAGGTGATTTACATTTGAATGCTTGACAACTGCTTCATATTTATGACGGTTGCAGTGTCCCAGGGTCATGTGATCATCTTTTGCGAACTTCCGACAAGCAAAGTCAGTGGAGAAGCCAGATTCACTTAGCAACCGTGTTACTAATTTAACAACTGCAGTTAACAAACTTAACAAATGAGGCAAGAAAAGTCGTAAAATAGAGCAAAACTAACTTAAACAAATTTCTCACTGAGCAACATAACTTCTGGGCTCAATTGTGGACGTAAGTCGGGGACTACCTGTATATTATTTTTTTTTCTTTTACCATTGTCTCTGTGAGTGACTATTGGGTCATTGGAAAGTAATAATCTAAATCAGTCCAAATAATTTACTACAATTAAATTCCACTCTCCCCACCTCATGCTCTCATTGATCAAAGCTAGTGTGTAGTTGCAGTGGCAGTAGAAACATCTATATGAAGAGTTCCCTGTTTATTTTTCCATAGTTCAGCCATACTTATGTAGTAAGAGATGGAATGGCATCAGAATTGCTTTGAGGGTTTATCAAGTTTATCATCCCATTTTCCTCAGTAACCAGTTTTATGATTTGAGAATAGCGCTTTATAAGAGATGAGGATAATGACATCTTCTGGAAAGCTTCTCTATAGATAGTGATGGTATCTGATCTGTTTAAAGTATAATCAATGTATTTATTATCCTTAACTAATACTAGGATAGCTGATTAGGGTTGTCTCCATGGCTAGAGAGAATGGGATGTGTTGCCCTGAGGAATAACACAGATTGCTGTAAGACTTTTGAGAAAGGGGTTATTTTCCTTAGCTTGGGTGAAGACATAAGGAAAGGTGTTTGAAATTTCTTTACAGAACTGTAAAAGCCACAAGCATTATAAATGTTTTATTCAAGATGATGATATATACATTAGAACAGATGCTCTTAGAAACAGATTCTGTATTCTTATTCTTGCATCGTGAATATGAATATAGTACAGTGGTACCTCAGTACTCAATTGGTTCTAGGAGACACGACGAGTACTACAAACAACAAGTACCAAACAAACCACATGACTAATGCCTGACCCTTTTGTTTTCTCTGGAAAGGGTTGCAAGTCATAAGGTAGCCAACACCAACAAGTTCTAGCTTGTACCTCAAGAACCAAACAAACAATGAGTACCAAGACAAGATTTTTGTTAAAATCCGTTGAGTAACAAATTTGATGAGCTTCAAAGCAGTCGAGTACAGAGGTACCTCTGTATGTTTCTGTGGGATTTTCTCTTAAAGTACGGTAACATTCATCTGTTTAAAACATAAATGACATTGACTTAAATGTAAAATATACTGCAGTTGATACTTTTTGCATGGTATGGAGAGAAATCTTGCCAAGTATTTTCTGAAAAGTCTTGTACGGATATGAAGAGAGATGGTGAATAAATTAATGTAGTTGATACTATTAGCTGGCTATCCTGGCAGACTTCCGTCCAGAAGTCGAAAAAGTTGCAGAAGACGGGAGTATATTCAAAGGAATTTATAGCTATTGTCATTTAGGCTTAGAGAGGACTGTAAAGCACTGTGAAGCGGTATATAAGTCTAAGTGCTATTGCTATTGCTATTGCTATGTATGAAAAGAACTGGTGTGGAGGGAAAGATCAGGGTCAAGTCAGAATCAGAATCCTCTCAACCTCATTCTAAGACTTATGTATCTTTTTTGGAACTCTATATGCATCTGCTCAAATTATGCTTTTTCTCCATAAGAGTTTTTTTTTAAGAATCTATATTGGACCAATTTTATATTTCTCTTCAAATACTGTCCAACTTTTCAGTTTCTGTTGCTGTTTTATTTTCTGTTTCCAGAATTCTGATAGCATCAAAACTAGAGAAATTACTTTTAGCCATCCTGCGGTATTGCCTGTTATGCTCATTTCCAGTAGGTCAAATAATAATAGTAGTGATTCAGCTTTCTCTGAAAAGCTCACATGTATATTAAACATCAAGCTTTAAAACTCATTGTGTGTTCATTTGGTTTCTTTGTTATCAAATATATCAGGGAGGCACAGCGATGAGCAGCAATTTACAGTCATCCAGTCACAAGTGGGTGATTTATTGCAGCAATGGTCTTGCTGCTAAACATTTAAAATCCTATTAAAGACAGCAGGATTTAAGTAGTCTGCATGCACGACAAATAACATATTTTAATATATTTACGAGATATACTCCAGACAACTGTGTGACTCTAGATACTGAACGTTATTTCCTAGCACTTTTATGATTCCTAGCCCATGAAAATACATTCTGGGAATTATGGTTAGCCATTACTGGAGAGTGTAAGTTGCTACTTGTAAAATGTAATTAGTGGATAAATAAACATAATATTACAGTAGTCTAGATTAAGGTCTTCCAGCCATTTCTAAAGGTGAAAAGCCATGAAAAAGATTTTTTCTCCCTGCCACTTTCTTGACTATATATATTTCATCTCCTCCCATTGTAGAGAGATTTCCTTTGTGGATTGTTGTACATTGGATAGGAAATTGTATAAAGGACATGGCAGTAGGCCAGGGATTGGCAGTACCACCCTCTCCTGCAGTATTTTTAAAGAACGGGCAGGTACAGACAAGGTGTAGTTTGATGTACAGAGTTTGAGAAGAATGACCTTTGTTTTATGCTTCAGGGGAAGAAAGTTGTAGAGCAGCCCCAACTGCTCTTCAACTTTTCCAACTGCTTTTGCATCTAAACATAGTTCCTGGATGATATCATGAGAATATTCTTAGTAATTTGACATGCCTGTAGAAGGCTAGCGTGGAAGACATACTTTCCAGATATCCAGCCACCTTCTTTGTAAGCAGGAAAACTGGATGAATCAGAAGCAGGTGATCCAGAGGCTGCAAAAGCAGACAAGCATAGCAAATCCTTTAGAAACCTTTAAGCAAGGTTTAAACATGTGGCAACATGATTTGAGATCTTTATGTATGCTATAAGGTTAAAGCAGCAGCTTTGGGCTTCTATGTCAGATTGGTTCGAGAAACACACCGCAGAGAAGATGAAATGGAGAAATAGTATTACCCATAAGAACTGAAATTAGGCGCCCCTCCTGTGCTTGCATTTTGAATAATCTGTATCTTGTCCACAACAGCATGGAGGGAGGGGAACTCTTCACTCGAATCCAGGAGCGAGGAGACCAAGCTTTCACGGAAAAAGGTAGAACATCAAAGGTTTTTATGAACACATTTTTGGAAGTTAGTACAGGTAATCCTCGACTTACAACAGTTCATTTAGTGACTGTTCAAAGTTACAGTGGCACTGAAAAAACTGGCTTATGACTGTTTTTCACAGTTACAACCTTTGAAGCATCCCCATGATCATGTGATCAAAATTAAGATGCTTGGGAACTGGTTCATACTTATGTCCGTTGCTGTTTCCCAAGGTCACGCAATCACTTTTTGCAACCTCCTGACCAGCAAAGTTAATGGGGAAGCCAGATTCACAACCATGTTACTAATTTACCAAATGATTCCCTTAACAACTGTGGCAAGCAAGGTTGTAAAATGGGGCAAAACTCACTTAACAAATGTTTCACTTAACAACATAAATTTTGGGCTCAATTGTGGTCATAAGTCGAGGGCTACCTGTATTTAGATAAACTCTTTATTTATTACTATTTTAAAGGAATTCTAATCAAATCAAAATTGGTAACTCTTTTAAAACTTATGTAGAGCTTCTGATTATTTTTATTTCTAAATGCCTGAAAACTCACAGAAATATAAATTTCATTGGGGGTTGTGTTCATTGTTTTTAATGAAAAACTATCCAAGTTTAAATAATGAGGCTTTCCCATTATGGATTGAAACTTCACCAAATACTGCAGTGTTTATTTCAAAATATATATACACAAAAGGTGTTTGTTAAGTCATTTAAAAAATTGTTCAGTGTATTGCAGGTATGTAATGTACAAGATTTCATGTCAGTGGTATTACCTTTTAACCAAAGGACTGAGGAGCAGAAATGTCATTGATTAATTAATTATTTAATTAATAGTCATTCTCAAAGCAAAGCATGAGTCTTAGGGCTAATTTTATGTTTTTCGCCCTGACATAAACAAGCTGGTTGCTAGTTAGAAACACTGTATATCTCTGAGATACAGCAAGAATGCTAATGTGACCTTTCTGTAAAATAACATTTCTAGAAGCCTCCGAAATAGTGAGAGACATTGGAACAGCCATCCAACATCTTCATGGGATGAACATAGCTCACAGAGATGTCAAGGTAAGAACTACTATAAATGTGTTCTAACTATGTGAAAAAATTAATGCATCTAAGCAGTTGATTTGCATAGGCCTGTTTCAACACTGAGACAAACAGCTTGAATCAAACATTTAAGTCACACTCTTGGGCAGGAATCCAAGTATCTTTTAAAAGTCAGTCCATTTAAAATAAGGTGCAAAGAAGGCCTAATGTTAGTTTAAAACTGACCCACAAGATTAAAACGTACTGATATTTAAAAGTAAATTTGGCTCTAGCTACAAACCAAACAGGATTAAAAATTCAGAAGAGATTAGTAACAAAAATTATCCTGTTCATTTTTATTTGTGTTCTTTTTTTATATACAATTCCAGCCAGAAAACCTTCTTTATACATCCAAAGAGAAAGAGTCAGTGCTTAAGCTCACAGATTTTGGGTTTGCTAAAGAGACAACCATACAGAATGCACTGCAGACTCCTTGTTACACTCCTTACTATGTGGGTAAGTTTGGCTTTTTCCTATCTTCTGATTTATTCATTCTGGAAATCATGAAATTATTACATTTTCATAAATGCACTCAACCCTTGCTGTCAGAAGTAAAAAGTCAATTACCAGACAGTTGAGTTCTAACCTATGGATACATACAATTATGTTAAAGAATACTATAGTATATATATCAAATCCAAAGTTACCAATCCAGGATTAGAGGAAAAAGCTCCCTGTGCATAGTCACAACAGGCTAGGAGTTAATTTCCACTGTAAGTATTGGGCTTCAGCAAGCAATGTAGTGTGAAAATTAGAGTTTTATGTAACAACTGACAAATTATAGTGGAAGGATGGTATGAGCTGAGATCACGCAAGCAAAGCAAAATTGCTCAGTGTTCTAGATTTATTATGGATAATCACTTTGCCATTGTTGGTGGCATTGGAAATAAAACTTGGGATGTCTGTTTTTGACATTCCCCACATATGTACACCCTCATGTACACTAGTTTACATTAGTAAACTATATAAAGTATTTGTTACTGCTGATTAGATTAAAGTACCTACATTCAGTTCTATACTAACCACTCATTTAATAATAAGGAAAGAATAAATATTAGTTAGCATATAACCAACATTTGAAAAACTAACATTCACAATTCTTTTGTTCTCTTCTTCAGCCCCAGAAGTACTTGGTCCTGAGAAATATGACAAATCCTGTGATATGTGGTCTCTTGGTGTCATCATGTATATTCTGTAAGTGTAAAATTTAGATAATAGCAAAACAGAATTCTGATATGTCACACATTAGCTCCTTGTTACCGTAATGCCACTAGTAAATCAGAAAAATTAGTCACTAGATCATTACTCATTCTGTCAGAAGAATCAGCAGCCATCTGTGACTCTACATGGGACCCGGGAGGGAATATATAGTGGTTTTCTAGTTACCAGAAGCTCATCTATATATGTCCTTCTTTTGCAGTTTGTGTGGGTTCCCTCCATTCTATTCCAATACTGGCCAAGCCATTTCCCCAGGAATGAAAAGAAGAATTCGGATGGGGCAATATGGATTTCCAAATCCTGAATGGTCAGAAGTATCTGACGAAGGTAAATGAGTGCTGCATATGTGTCAATAAAAGTGCATCATTGCTGGGTTTTAAAAATTGCAACTTTTACTTGGGTAATCTATGTGCTCATAGAGACCTTCAAGATATAAGATTGCCTAGTGGTTAAAGCATCAGGCTAGAATGCCGGAGACTGTGAGTCCTGTTTTAGGCATGAAAGACAGACTGGGGACCTTGGCCTAGTCCAGTGATGGCTAACCTTTTTGCCATCATGTGCCAAAAGTGGTGGGGGGATCATGTGTGTGCGTGCCCATACCCATAATTCTATGCCCCCTGCCCCCCATGCATGTGCGTGTGACCCACCCATTTTTTGCCCTCCCCAGGCTCCAGAACCTTTCTAGGAGCCCACCCCCCCGGAGGCCTTCTGGAGGCTAGAAATGGCCCATTTGCTGACTTCCAGTGGGACAGAAGGCCCATTTTTGGCTCTCCCCAGGTTCTAGAGTCTTTCTAGGAGCCTGGGGAGGGTGAAAATGGCCTTCCCCTCCGCCCCGGAGGCCCTCTGAAGGCCAGAAACAGCCTATTTCTCTACTTCCGGTGGGCCCAGAAGGCCCGAAAATTGGCTGAGCTCGCGTGCCCACTGATATGACTCCATGTGCCACCTGTGGCATGCGTGCCATAGGTTCACCATCTTGGGCCTAGTCACTCACTCTCAGCCCAACTCACCTCTCGGGGTTGTTGTTGTGGAGAAAATAGAAAACAAATGTGTGTTGGAACTTGGATATGTTTACCACTTAGAGTTATTTGTAAAAATAATAAAGGAGGGATAGAAACAAATAAAATTTGGCAGACTTCATGAATGCACACACCTAATTCATAAACATTGTAAAAAGAATGGTCAGAAACCAAAAAATTAGACAAATTGTATTAAATGCCATTTCTTCAAATATTATTTTAATATTAGAGAGAAATTTAGATGTACTGGGCCAGTAGAAAATAAACAAAAATGTATTCCAGGAATCAAATATCATATTGCTCCACCAGTATGCCTCTTAATATCTGGTTTTCTTTGTAATTAGCTACAGTATGTTTGTCTAGAGCAGGAATAGGCAACATATGGCATTCTGGAAATTGCTGCCTGACCACTACCAGCAACTGTCACTATTTCCCATGCTTTCTAAGAATTAAGAACTCAGTAACACCTGGGATACTACAGCTTGCTTACCTCTAGATTAGTACTAGAATATCGGCAGTTGCTGCTCCCAGATATGAGAATTCCATATAACCAATAATATTATATACACATGTTCAACATTTGTAAATTGCTCAAAAATGCATCATCCTAAAATCATTTTTTCCTGCTTAGAGCCAAGTTTGCCTCATCTGGGCTAGCAAATATAGTCATCTTATGGGGGCCAAACTTATTTGTCAAATTTATATGCCCTTCACACAAACAAATAACTGTAGGAGGTGTATCACAAAGCTAAAAACAGTTAAATCAATAATTAGTAAAACAATTATCATTATTATATTATTAAAAACATTTAGAAACCATAATAAGCCATGAAGATTCATTTGGTAATATATCTTTCGTGGCTGCTAACTTTAGAGAGGAAATCACTATGCATGGTCTTGTGCTTCTGGGTGAAAGGCAGGATATAAATGGGAAAAGATAAGTAGTTCTTAAATATAAGAACATGAATATGACATATTCATTCTGCAGATAGTTATAGGTGCCATTTTTTCCTAATTGGACAGAAGAGGAAAACTGACCAGGGTGCATGGATATTCTACAATATTTTTCTTGTATAATTTTACAAGCCCTTATTGCCTAAGTTATGTTTCCATGTGTATTTTTTTCTAGCCAAGCAGCTCATTCGTCTATTGCTGAAAACTGACCCAACAGAGAGGATGACCATTTCTCAATTTATGAATCATCCCTGGATTAACGTGAGTCCTGCACAATGGTCTGCCTGTGTCTTGATGTGGGTACTAGGCAGCCTGCTGAGACGATTTAGCATCTAATTGAACTAAGGCTCTATCTGTAAAAACGAATATAGTTTCTCCCTCACAGTATGAGGGAAATCTTGGAGGGGAGAGAGAAAAAAACTCTCTGTGAGTGGCAGTCAAGGACATTACACCCCCAACCCAACTGCTCTCAGCTAGATTTAGCTTTCATTGCGGTGCACACATTCTCTTTCTCTTATTTATAAAAAGCCACATTACCTCATCAACGTAGGACTTATTATTAGACCTCCAAGGCACCATCGTGCTACACAGTGTTGATATGAATAGAGACCTCCTGCTTTGGGGGCGTTCTCAGTTTTTGGCAGAGGACTGGGAAAACTCAAAATAGGGAAGGGGGAGGCTTAAGCACAGCTCTCTCAGAAAATCACGCCAGAGTTGTTTCTGATGGAGATGCCAACTAACTAAAAGGTTCTGGGAGTGTTGAAGTAGACTCCCCTCTGGAGTGGAAGAGAGAGAGAGCAAGCTGCTGCTGAAGCTATGCGTTTCACATCTGCATACTGCCAGGCAAAAGACACCAACCTTTTCTGTACCAGATTCTCACATCTATCAACGCACTTCAAATAGCTGCTTTAAAAATGGATTGATATAGTTGCCAAGAAAAATCAATTTAAAGAGATTAAATGCCTTGTGAACTCTTTCTCTTAAAAGAGACAAAGTCCAAGAGAGCAATTTGAGCGCTCCATAGAGCAAATGGTTAAATAGGGAACTGTCAGCCCAAAGGAAATGTAGGCTGAAAAGGGATCTCAGTCTCAATAAGAAAGGCTCAGAGTTAAGCAGACAAATGAGTTGAACATGTCTGTGAGGAGAAAGTCCTGCTTTCTTTCCAGTCACCAGAATTGAAACTGATGTATCAAGTTTTAAAATTTAAATTTCTAATATAAACAATTCTGGAGAGACTTGGAATCCGTATCTCTATTACAGAAACTCTGTTCTAGCACCTGCCATCCCTTTGAGCCAGAAACCTAGATTGAACCACAGTGCAGAACTGATTAATTTGGACATAGGGATGTCAGTTGATCAAGAACAAGTGTAAGCTTAGCCTTTGATTCAAATGTTGTGTCAACTTCATTGTGGGCTTTAAGCGGAATTTACAAACTAAAATGTAAGAGGAGCTGTGTTAAGAGCTTTTATTTTTACAATTTATCTTCCTGACAGTCTGTTCTATTTCTCATTCAGCTATGTGGCCTATAACTAAAAATATTTTAAAAGGAGAATGGGACCTTGATGTTAAGAGCTGCAGAATTTCATACCAAGATAGAGGGATAAACTAATTAATTTATGAAGAATATGGCTTTGAGGTTTGAGATTTACTATGGGGGGAAAGGTCTATCTGGAAGCTGAGAAGCAGAAGGGGAAATGATGTGCTTTTTCCTGCTACTGCAAGCTTTATCCTCCTTTGACAAGTGTTTGCTGGGGGAAGCGGGAGGAGCTCAAATGTGATTTTCTCCTCTAGTTTTTACCAAGTTAATTGCCAGAGTCTTATGGAAGTTATGCAATTTTGTGATTATGAAAAATACGACTGTCTCCCAAAATGCAGCCGCCTACACTCTTTCTCACATAGCTTAGGAGACAAGTTTCTACATTTTGAATACAACTTCTTTTTTTAAGAGCAGTTAATGGTTAGTGTGTCAGCAGTCTTTCACAAGAAATCATCTCTATTGATTACCTCTCTTAGCAATCCATGGTGGTGCCACCGACCCCTCTTCACACTACTCGAGTCCTGCAAGAAGATAAAGACCACTGGGACGAAGTGAAGGTAATCTTTGGACATGTGCAGAGTTGGATGGAGAGCTTCCTTTTTATAGATGGTTGGAAAACAATGTTCTCTCTATTTATTTATAACCCCAAGTAATGTGAAATAGCACAGTAGTTGCTAAAACATATGCAGATAATAGATTGAGAAAATTAGTACAGTTAGGCCTAGAAAGACAAGCAGGGTTTTAATGGCAGGGTAGGTGTTTATTTTTTTAAATAGACTTTAGCAAAAAAATGTATGCAATGGAAAAAGCCAGGATTTTTACTTCAATCTTTCTTTAGTATGCCTTTTGGAGTAGGTGGTTTGGAGTTTTTTTGGTTTTTTTTAAATAAACGTGCTAGATCTGTCCAAATACTTATATTCTTTTTTTTAAAAAAAATCATATTTTCTTTGAAAAACAATGGAAAATTGTACCTTTGATGTTTTTCCAAAAGTTCTGGGGCTACAAGAAAAGCATATATAATCAGTGGTGGTTTCAAATTTTTTTACTACCGGTTCTGTAGGCGCGGCTTGGAGGGCATGGCATGGCTTGGTGGGCATGGCAGGGGAAGAATACTGTAAAATCTCCATTCCCATCCCACTCCAGGGGAAGGTTACTGCAAAATCCCTATTTCCTCCCAATCAGCTGGAACTCGGGAGGCAGAGAATAGATGGGGGCAGGGCCAGTCAGAATTTTTACTACCGGTTCTCCGAACTACTCAAAATTTCCACTACTGGTTCTCCAGAACTGGTCAGAACCTGCTGAAACCCACCTCTGTATATAATGTGCTTTGTGAGGTGTCCATCCTGATTGAGGCAGATCCAACAAGAATAGGCAGTTTGGGCTTTCAGATGTTTTGGACTTTGAATACCCACTTCACTTTGCCACTAGTGTTTTCTAGAAGTTTTCCTAATGCCAAGTTGCCTTTGACATAGGAAAATATTAAATTCCGTATACACATAGGCAGCATTAAAGATATACTACTTCGCTGAATGTTCCTTACAGAATTAATTTGGTTCTCAGGGTTTTTTTTGTCCCTAATACGTAATGTTTAATCCTACATATGAATTGTTTTATTCATTACAGCCTACTACATCTGGTATATAACTTTTGTGGGGGGACTCTACAGTTACTCTTGCCTGAGATCCTTCCTTCTGTAGACATAACAAGAGACGGACTATTTTTCCTTTAAATTTCACTGTTACTTCTTGTGTATTTTAGGAGGAAATGACTAGTGCTTTGGCGACCATGAGAGTAGACTATGATCAGGTAAAAATTAAAGATTTGAAAATATCCAACAATCGACTCCTCAACAAACGACGTAAGAAACAAAAACAAGGAGGCACCTCAACTGCATCAGCTGGCTGTAACAACCAATAAAGACGAGAGAAATAAAATGAAATAATTAGTTGAACTGAAATCATCACACAAAGGATACATAACTGAAACACGAATGTGGGTGATGAGAACTTTTTATTTCAACGCAACTGGGCCTTTTTCTACAAAGAATTTTGTTAACCATTCTATTACATTTTAGTATACTTTACATAAGGAGCTGCAACAAACCTTAGAATATCAGTGAAATTGGATAAATAAATATTTCTTGTGGTAATGCGGGTTCAGTGCTTATAAAAGCACAATCACAACAAGCAATTCTAAATCCCTTTTTTCATATAAAGCAATTAAGAGCATCCATCTGCTTAACTCTCAGATGAATTCATAAGGACATAAATGTGCTTAATTTAGACTGGATTATGCTGAATCCATTCAAGAGAAATAGATTAAACCATGCATAAAGCAAAAAAATCAGGTTATTACAAGAAGCAATCAGAAAGTTATGAAAAAGTAAGTTTTTCATATATTTTTGTTTGATTTTCATTGTTCATTTCTATTGTATTTAATGTTCTTATCAGTTTAATGCTCTTATTTTATACACCATCCATCTGCATAAGGAAGCATCGCTTTTTAGTCTTTTACAATTTAAGGTTTAAGGGATTATTACAAGCTTGCTTCCATTCTTACGTTCAGATCATGTAGATAAGAACAGTGTAGTCAGTCATATGTGAAGTGGGCACACATTTTTTTCAACCACAGGAAACTTCCGCTGGCTACCTTGTAGGATCCACATAGCAAAAAAACAAACAGGTATGAATACAGTTGCTACATTTTACGATTTAGATGTACCATTTCCTTGTTTACATATAGGCCGTAGTTTATTTTTATCACATATTTTTTCAACCGTTTACTTTTTTAAATTAAGTATCAGAGATTAATATATAGCATTAATCAACCAAAATATCATTGTTTATGTCAGCATCCACAATTTTGCACAAAGATTTTAGCTGAAATTTTATACAGTTCAGAAGGAAATGATTCCCAGATGCACTATGATTTTTTTACTAAAAGAACCACAATATAGCTATCAGGGTATAGCTAGAGGGCACACTTTTTACATTCTTTTCCAGCAGTAGAGAGTTTCCAGTGGTCTGGGGTTGACATGGTGGCATCATCAGAGAGGACAGAGGTAGAATCACCCCTTCCCTTCTTGTGATGTTGTTTTTAAAAACGTATTAAACCAATTGGCCCTACTTCACCTATTTTATTTATATTCCTTTTATTTAGCTATTGATTAATTTCCATGAGAAATCTTGGGAAACTACTACCAGAAAATAAATGGTTACAATTGCAGTTTCCTGAGATAAGGTATTATTTTGGCTATTCTGTGAACTGGGAGATATAGTACTTTCATGTACTGTCCACATGTAAAAAGTTTAAAACATGGGCACATGCCATGAGTACTTCTAAATTCCAAGAGGAAATTTGCAAATTTCACACACACACACACACACATTACTACAGTTGTTTTTATGTATCATATATTATTTCTTAATACCCTGTAGATTAGGGTGGATAGGATAACAAAAATTGAAATCACTCAAGTAATTCTTGTGGATATTTTTTTAGAGAGTTTAGATATTCCAGTATGGCGATATATGCAACAAGAAAAGCAACTGTGCCAAACACTAAACGTCTCAAACGGGGGTGTATTTTCACACAATATCTCTTAATAACCTTGTCCTGAGAAACCTGCATTACATACCAATTATCTTTATTCAAATCATTTCATTGTCCAAACATTTTCTTTGAAAAGGGATATTCCTATTCCTATGACAATTTCCCACACATGCAAGTGTCCCTGGCCCTCTAGGAAGAAGGTGAGAACTAATCCAGCCCTCTCTCTCAGCTTTCATTTGTGCTCCAGTTTTTGAGATGCTAACGAACAGCAGGTGCTTGTTTATGTTATTTCTCATTTCTAACACTCACTACAGGAAAGAGAAACCCTTTGATGGCCTCCGTGTTTGTCAGAGGGCTCAAGGGGGAGATGAAGTCTTCTCCTAATGGTACTTGTAAAATGGCGAGATGATAAATAATTGCAGATGAATTGTTGTATTCTTTACATTCTCCAAACTAAGTCTGCTGCACAAGCCTGGAGACCAGAGATGGAGGAAGAAAATTTGTGGCTGTTAAACCAAAAAATATTGATGACTTTCTATTATATCCTTATTCTAGAATTATAAGGATTAATCTGCAATGAAGTAAATTTCTATTAATTACATAGGTGCCTCTCTTTGATTTGCAAGCATATTAAATTGATGTTAAAAGCACTTCAGACTGTTTGGGAAATTCTAACATTTTGCAGATATTAATAAAATGGTGCTTTACCAATTTTTTTTCTTAAATTGGACCTCACTCTTTTAATCAATTTTCTTTTGTGATATTTTACTTTCAGTTCTAGGATGACAGACTTTCTCTCGTCTCCCCTTCAAAGAATGTGAAGCGAACTTAATTTGAAGGCATCATTTTTGTCCATACAAAACCAATATTATTTGTTTTAATATTCAATTTAACTAAATTTAGAGCAACTGTAAGTTAGCAGTAGTCACTAGGTGGCAGCACTTAGCCAACCTTGGCTGCTCTTAAAAAAATTAACATGGTTGGATCTGGTTAGTACTTGAATCACCAGGGCTAGAGGATAGATTTGGAAATTGAAGAAGAAGGCAGTGCCAAACATTTCTGAAATGATGGCTCTCCAAAGCTATTGCCCATAGAATTATTTGCTGAATCAGTCTTGCTTCCAAGTGGAATTATTGATCCTTTTTTTATTTCTGGCTAATGTTATTGTTGTTTTTGGCCAACTAAAGAAAACTATATAATTTTTGGCAGCCTCCCCTTTGCTTGCTTTTTCTTTCATTTGAATGTCAGATTAAACCTTGATGTGTACCAGTTCAGTCCTAAGTGAAGTTACATGTCACTACATCTGACATTTTGAATAACAGAGGAATTGATAAAGAGGAAGGTATTATAAATCTCACAATCGCAAGAGAAAAGTATGTGAACAAATCTACCAAACTTTTGCTAGGCCTCAAGGAAGAGGCTTTCTCTAATTCCTTATCGGGAATAATATACGATACAAAAAATGATGCTGTGGTCCTAGAAAGAGTGCAGAGAAGAGCAACAAAGATGATAAGAGATGAGGAGGTCGATGTATTCTCCAAAGCATCTGAAGGACATGAAGCAACAGGTGGAAGCTCAATAAAGATAGATCCAACTTGGAACTAAGGAAGCATTTCCTGACAGAGCAATTAATTAGTAGAACAGTTTGCCTCCAGGAGTTGTGGGCGCCCATCACAGGAGGTTTTCAAGAAAAGATTGGACAACCATTTATCTGGGATGGAATAAGGACTCCTGTCTTGGCCAGGGAGCTGGACTAAAAGATCTCCAAGGTCTCTTCCAGCCCCACGATTCTATGAATATAGGGAAAATTGCCTGTGAACACAGTAAATATTATAAGACAAAGTATGGGAAAATCCGTTGTTAATGCTCTTTGTTTCAATTCGAAATCTTAAAACTATCAGAAAATATTGTGTTGGTCAAGAGTGGCAAAAAATGTGATAAACATAATAGGTATTCCCACTACCAAGTAGTGAAGGCACAAGATTTCTTAGAAATACACAAACAACTCATCATGCGACCATTATTTTCTGATAAAGAATATAATCTCAGAGGAAATTAAAGTCTCTAAGCAACCTACATATTTATGAAATAGGCCAGGTTTTCTTTCATTTTGTTTCTGGAAAGATACATGGCCATGGGATTATCTGTTCTCCGACTTTAAGCTTCTCTAAAAGGTGCCATATCTCTTCTGCCTTTCTTCAAGTATACATGTTGCTTTTACTATTGATTAGTAACACTTCCTTCTGAAACACATTTTCTTTTACTGTATGCAAACCTCCTTCTATGTTCTGGGTATATGTTGAACACCTTTCTGTTTAGACTATGAAGCAAGATAGCACTGAGTTGAATTTAACTCCTGGCAACTGGATGAACAAATGCTTGCCATTTTTACTATAAAATTATAGCTTTCTGAGAGCATTTTAGTTTTTTTAAATCTCAGCCTCCCACCTCCATTGTCTTCCTCTTTTATAGCCTTCTAGTGTAATAATTTCTAATTCACCATGCTTTCACACCAGATGCCAAAAGTATATGCTTCTTCATGTTATTGTTCCAGTGGAACAATCTTTATTTGGACCATGATTGAGTGGCTGATCAAGAATTCAGTGGACAGCAATAGCAATAGCACTTGGACTTATATACCGCTTCATAGTGCTTTTACAGACCTCTCTAAGCGGTTTATAGAGTCAGCATATTGCCCTCAACAATCTGGGTCCTCATTTTACCCACCTCAGAAGGGTGGAAGGCTGAGTCAGCCTTGAGCCTGGTGAGATTTGAACTGCCAAACTGCAGTCAGCCAGCAGTCAGCAGAAGTAGCTTACAGTACTGCACTCCACTGCGCCACCATGGCTCAATTTATTTGTGCCTGGTCCCTTTCTATTTGATAGGTGATAGATTGTTTGTTCTTTATTTTCTACTGTAATCACTCTTTGAATATGTAATTTTTCTACAAATGTTTTCCATTGTCTGTAAAGGGTTTCAATAGTCTAACTATCTTCTATTAATCTTATTTGCCTCTATTAGAGTCATTCTGTGACTATTAATATTCTTACCTTACCCGTACATTTTCTGTGATTTCTGTGATGTCCTTGAAAGCAGCTCTTATTTTCCTTTTTATTATTGTTATATTTCTTGATCCTATATCTTTCCCTGTTCTTTTTGCTTGATGTTGCATTGTGTCCCTGCTGTACAAGCCTTTCATCCTTTCCTGATTATGATAGCTTATTCTGAAAGCTACTTATATACGTATAAGCCCATCTCAATATTTCATCACACATGAACGCATCACAATATTTCTTTTCAGAGTAAGTAATGTTATAAAAAATGCAGAAAAAGTAAAAAGTATTAAACAAAATAAAGAAAAGGAGATAAAATGAAAGGAAATCTAACCAAGTCTAGTTCACATCAGATCATTTGCTATACCTCTCCAGACCATTCTGTCCTTGAAGATCATTCTTGCTTTCACCAGATCCATACACTGATTCATGCACTGCATTTTATTCTTTAAGCTCATCTTTCTGAGAATCTCATAAAGTCCATCGAATGCTGGAACTGAAGATGACATGGGAATGGGGTTTTTAAAAACAAAACAGAAAGATCCTCAATGTCTGCATGAAATTAATTTGAGTATGGATTTTAAATTGGCCGTATATAAGAATGACATGGAATATAATAATAAAATAATCAAATTATACAAAAACAAACTGGAAGAATGACTTGGATAACTTTTCTATATTGATTTACAAAAGAGACTTGTTAATGTTTGAAGGAATTTGTGAGAAGGGACAGAAAAAGGAAGAGAAATAAAGTTGTAGGACATTATTTGAAGGGATTAAAGACCAAGATAGTTAAAAGTAGAGGGAAAGAATATAAGGTTGGCTTATTTGATCAAGGTTAAAGAAGATATATTGCTCTCTAGTAACCTTTAACAAACTTTTGCTGACCAGGACTGAATGATGAGGCTTTAAAGTTTTGATTATAAATATGAGGCGAGATGTGGAAAGATCCTTTGTTATATTTTAAGAAAAGGTTATCACTAATCTTTTTTATACTTGGTGATGAAGAAGGAAGTTATTTCTTTATATATTCTTTTTTTTTCTTTTCTGCACTTTCTATTTTTTTAGTTGATATTAGCTTTTATCTTTTTAATTATTCAATAAAATTATTGCAAAAAATAGAATTAACTTAAACTGATTTCTTTTTCTTACGTTTTACACTTTCATTTTTAACAGCTGTTTAAAAAAACACTTCTTATTGTTTTATTATTTTTGACTTTCTAATGTTCTTTTATCTGGCAGCCATACGCTAAGCTTTTTGGCTTGTCTGCATTTGGCAACAGCTGGCACTAATAGGAGGCAATAGTTTTCATAATATAGCAGAGAGGAAAGGAAAAAGAGGAGGCAGTATATAAATCATCTTTAATAGAACTAAACAAAAAAATAAAAAACAAACAGGAATATTTATAATACAAGGAGGCACCAATGGTAAGTAGCAAAACTCCTATAGTTATCTCAGATTGAACCTTTGGAATGAGATTTGTAAGAAGAAAGTGAGAGCTAATCATTTCTATGGTTATCCTATATGCTACGAAGTGTATGGCTCAGTGGTGGGATTCAATTTTTTTTACTACCGATTCTGTGGGTGTGGCTTGGTGGGTGTGGCTTGGTGGGCATGGGAGGGGAAGGATACTGTAAAATCTCCATTCCCACCCCAGTCCAGGGAAAGGTTACTGCAAAATCCCCATTTACTCCCGATCAGCTGGGACTCGGGATGCAGAGAATAGATGGGGGTGGGGCCAGTCAGAGGTGGTATTTACCGGTTCTCCGAACTACTTAAAATTTCTGCTACCGGTTCTCCAGAACTGGTCAGAACCTGCTGAAACCCACCTCTGGTATGGCTCCGAGAAGGAGTCTGCTGCTTTAACATTTTCCCTATGCAGACGTATCAAATTAGTTTTGTAGCTGCCCTTTCTTTAAAAGAACACGAGAACATAGATTTTAAAGACAACTAACATGAAATCCTCACAACATCTATTGACTACAAAGTTATTTCTATTCCAGTTATCAGAAATAAGACCTCTGAAGGAAAAGGCTGTGAACAGGAAGACTGGATTCCTACAGACCAGTCTGATTGCCTCAAGGTACATTTAATAGCATACCAGAAAACTATGACCTGTTGGGTCATTGTTGCAGAGATATTTTCTTGCCACATTCTCGATGCATTCAATAATGGCAAAGCTTCTAATGGACAGCCTTCACTGGAAAAGTAAAAGTTAAAAATTCAGGGAGCTATTCAGAAATGATGTACCTGCCTTGAAAATAGCTTGCGTTCAAAACCTAACACACAGTCAAACATCAGGAGTTGTTCACAGGAAATGTTTTGTGGCATTTTGTATTATGTCATAAAATGTTTTATAAAATTTGCCAAATTTCAATTCCGCAAGGCTCCTGGGTTCTGGGTTTTGCACACATTCTGTAAGTTAGCTGATTTGAGGTACATTAGTTCAAAAATTGTAGCCCTATGTTGTGCCATTTTGCCCAATTAAAGGTTACACACAAACAGGACAGTTTTAGTAATACAATAGACAATCCATTACCTGTTTGGTCTTTGATTCAGAGATATTTCATTACCAGATTCCTTAATGATAGTAACCATAGCAGAACTTCGAATGTATTGCCTTCACTGGAAAACTTCTTAAAAATTCAGAGAAATATTCAGATATGTATCT